AACCTCTGCCTTCTGCTTCTCAAATGTGTTTGACTTTGAATGAGAATGTGACTGAAAATCCTGGATGACACAAACAAGAAGTTTCAACTTTAGCTCCTGGAAAATGCAACAGATGTTTTCTCCTGTTCTCTGACATTTAATGACAATGAATAATCACGTTTGTGTTCATTACATTTATTTCATTGTCATTGCATATATGTGTATTTAAAACACATCAGGATGACCTCTAACAACACCTCCACACCAAATAAAGTTTGGATTTATCAAAATGTTTCAACATATCTAACACACAAGAAGCCTGGCACAGGAGTACTCACTATGTCTGGGGAAATAACGGTGCTGCCATGTAGGCCAAGTGTACATTTAAACACCGGGGTCCCCTGCCAGTTTGCCATGTTCTGCTAACCTGATAGTGCACCTGTGAAAGACTATGTTTTGTGTGCACAGTGATCTTGTAAGTGACAGTAATCCCACTATAATTACCTGTTTGCTTGCAGTGAGAGGCCCCCCTCCTGAGAACATCTACATCTCCTCTCTCCCTCCCAGTGTTCCCACAGATCAGGGGCCAGAGCAAACTGAAGCACAAGGTCAGGATGTTTATTTTCTAGACAGTTTTTTTTGTTAAGGCTCATCACAGTTTCATGAAACTGACAGTAAAACATGAGGCACTTTATTTTCCCTTAAGCCAGAACAAACTGTTCCCATACATTTCATCTGTCTTGTTTTGATTACTGTGCACCATCACTATAAAGATACAGGCTACTGTTTAGTTAGTCCTAGATTTTAGCCATCCTAGCAGCACAGCTCAGTGAATGGCATTGTTGGTCTCTCAGTCCACCACTTTGGTCCAGAAATGTTTTAGTAGTTCTGCCATTTCAATTCAGTTCAATTCATTTTTATTTGTGTAGCTCCAAATAACAACAAAAGTCATCTCAGAGCACTCTAGACATTACTATTAGATAAGGCCTGCTGACTTTGGTGATTCCCTAACCCTTCCACTAGCGCCACAAGTAGGTCAGCATTTTCACTTAGTCTGTAAAATAGCTTGACATTAACAGATCACTGGTTCTCTACCGTTTCCACTTGTGATCCTGTAAAAATAAGAAATGCAGACTTTGCAACCCCTCATGACAGCATGTGTCTGTCAGCTGCGGCTTGTTCAGCTAAAGGGTGAATTCAGCTTTATTTGTATCAAATATCTACAATTCCATGACAACTGGCAACTAATGAGAACAATCACATGATAAAAGCTCCACATCAGCCACTGAGTAGAATTTGAGAGTACAGTGTGTCAGTGGCTGTTTCCAAGTTAAAGAATGAAATCTGAACCTCAGTGGTTTCTTTCTTATTTACCACACAACCCCTCAGATTCATGTTGTGACTCCTTGTGGGGTCCCAATCCCCAGGTTGGGAACCAAAGTTTGCCCCTAACTTTCCTTCTACCACTATCAAGTCAAAATTTAAGTTTGCTTGATGCCTTTGTTCATAACAAATACCAAGAAAAAGGACACATCCATCCCCTGTACTATGTGTTTAGCACTAATTAGCATATGTTAACATGCTATGGTGCTAAACTAAGGTAGTGCACATGGTAAACATTACACGTGCTGTTTCTATAAGGTTATTAGCATGGCTACTTTAGCATTTAGCTCAAAGCATCACTGTACTTAATTACAACCTCAAGAGCCTTGTGTCTTAGTAGTTTTAGTTTCTAGTTAAGATCTGAGTTATTTATATTTTCTTTATATTTGTGCAGAAAACACTATTTGGACATTTCAGACAGGAGGTTTTATTACAGCTAAGACACAACTTTGTTGATCACACTGGAACCTAAATACATAATGATTACAATAATGACTGCTCTGTTAATCAACAGTAACTGTCTCTTTATAGTACCACGGTTGTGACCTGTGTTCCCCAGAGACTTGTACTGCGCAGTATGTGTGTGTGTGTGTACTACATTGTAGCATTTTGTGTGATGTAAATCCTTAGGTAAAGTGTTTTGTAGTTTCACAGTCTTTGTGTCAAATTTCAGCAAATGACGTTGGTGAGGAGAAAGCAGCAGTGATCCAGACCACACACACACACAGAGTGTCTGGTCCCTCAGTCTTCCTTCAGAAAAACAATAATGAGCCTGTTTCTAGTACTTACTTTGAACAGAGGGTCCCTGTTCCTGAGGAGGAAAGTGAGGTAATCCACGAGTCCATGTGAAGTACCAAATATAGAAAACCCATAGCCTTAATGCAGAGCTGGGTGATATGAAAATATATGGCATACTATGACACAATGTAAACTAGTCAACCTTCAGAGATTTTGTCATAATGTTTAGACTGTGGTCATGGTCGCTTGAATGCAATATATCTGAGTGTATAAGATTATTGTGAGCAATTTTGAGCAGGACTGATTTATGATAGCGACTGATATGATCTGATTTGTCAGGTATTTAAAGGAATAGTTCGGTATTATGGGACATAAGCTTATTCCCTTTGTCTCTTTTTCCTGAGAATGTTTGACAAGATTGATACGATTATGGGACACCGCTCATGCACATTGTGAGCCGCTGTACCGGAGTCAAATTTCTCATGTGTTCAACATGCCTGGCCAATAAAGCTGATTCTGATTGTGATACCAGATACCTTATATCTTTAAATATAAAACTACAACCAGAGACTGTTAGTTTGTCCTTACATAAAGACTGGAGGGCAACCGTTAGCCTGGCTTTGTACATCCATCAATCCATCCATCTATTTTCTACCGCTTATCCGGGGTCGGGTCATGATGGCAGCAGGTTCAGTAAGGTATGCTAGGTGTCCCTCTCCCCAGCAATGTGTTCCAGCTCCTCTGGCAGGATTCCAAGGCATTCCCAGTCCAGATGAGATATAGTATAATCTCTCCAGCATGTTCTGGGTCTGCCCTGGGGTCTCCTATCAGATGGATGTGCCCGGAAGACCTTGAAAGGGAGGAACCCAGACTAAGAGCGATTCATAAACAACTGATGAAAATGGCAAATTCAAGTCACGCTACCTCGCCTATATTAGGGAAACCAGGGCACACTACTGAAGCCAGAACTAGGAGGGGAGCTTGCCATCGAGTGTCTGGTGGCCGGGCCTTGGCCCATGGGGCCTGGTCAGACACAGCCTGAAGGAATGACACAGTGCCACCACCCTGTGAATCCACCACCTGCAGGGAAAGTAATCGGGTTTGGGTGCAGTTTAAGTCGGGCTGCAGGCTAGGTCAGGTACCTGATTGTGTTGGTACCTGGTTGTGTAGACTAGCTCTAGGAGCCTGATTTTGTTCAAAGGTTTAAAAAATATGCCTGACAGCACCTCTAAAATGTAGTGATTAATGTATAATTTGTTGGGTTTGGTGACCTTTAGATGTGCGAGAATGGGATTTTTTATCTTTACCTTCAAACAGAGCCAGGCTGGATGTTTCCCTCTGTTTCCAGCCTTTATGCTAAGCTAACCTAAGTGGCTACTGGCTGTAGACCTTTATTTACAGCACATGAGAGGGGTATCAATTTTCTCTCACAAAATACTGCAAGAAAACAAATAAGCTTACTTCCCCAAATGTCAAACTATTCCTCTTGTTATTTCATCTATAAATGGAAATTTCAGTATATCATGACATACCTATGTCATTATATAAAATTAGATACGGTGTGATGGAGGACCCACCACTAAATGAAAGTGATGCTTATTTTCAGATAGCACTTGACATTATCAGTGTTACACCCTGTTCTTCATTCTCCTGTAGAGAGTGATCAGTCTCCGGAAGCTTTGGGCCTTCACTGGGCCGGGGTTTCTGATGAGCATAGCGTACCTGGACCCTGGTAACATCGAGTCTGATCTGCAGTCTGGTGCTAAAGCTGGCTTCAAGGTAGGGCTGCAAGTAACGTTTATTTTTGATTCGCTTTCTTGCTTAAATGTCCATCAGAATTTTATGAAGCTCAAGGTGATGTCTTCAGCTTGCTTTACTTGACCAACACTCCAAACCCTAATGTTCAGCTGACAGTTACATAAGACAAAGAAAATAAGCAAGCCTTTTCATTAAAGAGCCCATGCCCATTTCCAGACATTTAATTTTTAATCTTGGGTACCTCTAGATTAGCTTTGCACCTATCATAATTCCAAATAGTTTCCAAATTATTTCAGAACAATAAAACCTGATATCACAAGGAGAGCCTCCTCCTGAAAACCAGAGGATAGTTCGTGAATGTGCACAACTCCTGTTGCCCATTTGGTCGCAAGTGGACAGCACAACGAACCACAACAACATTAATTCATTAAAATTTCTCCACCATAGATACGTAGGTAAACAACGGTATATGTACAGATGAAAAGAGATCTGTAACACTCTAAACAAAGTGGGTCATTGAGAAACCCCATATTTTAACTGGCATAATGCAGACAGACCTGTCCAGGGTGTACCTCACCTCTCGCCCAGTGTCAGCTGGGATTGGCTCCAGCCCTCTCCCGAGACCCTATTCAGGAGTAAGCGGTATAAATAATGGATGGATGGATAGTTAGCCCCTCACCCATAGCACAAATACACTAGTGGTATCATTTCAAGATATGAACAATTTGTCGACAAGTTAAAATTAACATAATTTAAACTCTCTCACCTTGAATTCTTTGTATTCTGGACGTCTGCCTTTGAGATGCTTAGCTAGGTTTGAGCTGTTTTCTCCTTTTGAGGCAAAAGCTTTGAGACACAGTTTGCATACTTGATTTTGGTAGTCTATAACTTGCGTGTGTGACCAAAATGAAACTGTTTCATTGAAGAATTACCTGCACATTGACAAAAAGAGTAAAAAGAGGCCTTAAAGATGCAACAGAGTCAAAATGTTTTACATTGTCAGTACAATGTGTCAGAAGTACCACGTAATCATAGAGACATACAGTTGTATACTAAGGTTTGAGAACAGACAGACAACATATTTTCTTGACCGAAGTCAAAAGAGGTAAATCCAGCCCCTACAGCAAACACACATTTAAAATACTTTTTTTTTTTTTTTTTTTTCAAATGTTTGCTTTGGGAATAACCATATGCCCTGACCTGAACATCACTAAAAATCTTAAACAGATTGGCTGAAGTCAAGAACAGGAAGACTCCTAGCTGCTACATTATGAAAAATATTTGTAAGCTGATATCTGCCAAGGGTTGGGTCACTGAGCACTGACTTAACTGGGTACTGTTCAGGTTTTTCTACTTCTAAGTCCATTAAATGTAAAGTGCAGTACAACAGTGCAATAACAACTGGAAATGGCTCGTTTTCTTTTCTTCTTTATGTGTTTGTTGTATTTCCACCTTTTCATGTCAAAATTCCACAAAATAGTTTGCACAAATGTTTGTATACCTGTAAATACAGTAGAGTAAAGCGGGACACACACCTGAGAACTGGTTAAAACCTTCTAAGACTGGAGAGGCCACACTTAACAACTGTTTCCATCAACTTAAGAAGATTTTAGTCCTAGACATTCAGGAAGGAGCACACACCTAAACGCTGATCAGACTCTAGATAACACATTTAATGACTGTCTGTAATGACTGGAGGTTCTGGCAGCCAGACAAGCCTGTAAGTCCCACGGGATCACACCAGTCCTCACATGTCCTCGTACCAAAACAGTTATGGATGCAGCCAGCTTGCATGGTTTTTATCTGTTTTACCCTTCAGTTTGTGCTAAAAATAAGAAAAAAGAGGGGAAAATGCAGAGTTTGAGTGAGATCCTATTGGACCCCAGGAGAGTCACAAACAAGACAAAATGAACTGTGATTTTCATAGATACAGTACATTGTTTGTAAAACAGTTAAAAAAATCCAGACAAATGTAAGTTAATTTTTAATATATGTATTTTAATGGATGTCTAATGAAATTCTGAATTTATTATCATAATTACACATATTATAATGATATGGGTAAGACACTGGCAAATATACGTTTAACATATTGATACTGTGTCGATCTAGTGTACATAGTCGCTGAGTACCTGAGCAAAGCGCAAAAAGATTTGTGATCATCCCCACCTTATCCTGCAAGGAGTCATTGGTCAGCAATATCAGCCATAAACATTAAACTTGTTTAAAAAATGTTTATGGGAACAACTGGCAGCAACCGGTTCTTAAGACTTTAGATTAGAATCGTTACACAGCACACTCTACATGATTTTAACTGCTGACTGTCGGCAATGACTGACCCAGACTGAGCCCGACTCAGTCCAGCTGGGTCTGATCAGTCATCACGTCCAAATACCATTCATAACTGGCGCAGCAATTGCTAAGTGTGTGCCCACCTTAATAGCGATGAGCAATCAGGAGAAGGGAGGTAAGAGACAAAGGTCTTCCATAGGAATAGAATGGCTATCCTGACTTCTCAGACTTCTCATGTTAGAGAACAACATTTTCCTAGGGTCTCTAGAGAGAACATTACTTTTATTTAAAACTTTCAATATAGGACCTAAAACATTTTGTGAGATAAAGTTCACACATAATTCCAAGGTCTGAAGTTGTAAATCACTGCTTGTAAAGCTGTGAAAAAACCCACAAGGAGCATAAGGTTTTGTGAATGCATAGGAAAGATTTGTAGGGAACATGCAGAGACTATATTCTAGCATATATTAGCAATTAGCTACACAAAAAACAAAGGGTGATTAAAAACTACAGATTTTGGATTTTTCTTTGTGAGCCTCAGTTTACAAGATCAAAATCTTATCTGAACTGATAAACAGACTCTGACGGTGTTCTCGTCCTGCCAGCTCCTTTGGGTGCTGCTGGGAGCCACCGTCATCGGTCTACTGCTGCAGAGGATGGCTGTTCGGCTGGGTGTCGTCACTGGGATGCACCTGGCTGAAGTCTGCAATCGCCAGTACCACACCGTGAGTCTGTTAGATCACCGACCCCAGCTGTTAATGACTTCCCTTTAGCACAAAATGCCTACAACACTAACACTGTATTTATTGTGTTCATCTGTTCCTGGTCCTGTAAGCCAAAGTAGTGCTGGTGTACTGAAACTGTAGCAGTGCATAGCCAGCACTGTTGTTTCAGTTCCTGTAATCCTTGGATTACATGATCAAAAATCCAAAGTAAATCCAAGTATGAGCTTTCAAAACTGTGATACAGTGTTCAGATTTACAGTTAGAGCCTGAGTGAGTGAATGAAGTGTTCGTGTCGAAACATTTCTAAACCCAGCGTGTGTAATAATGTCAATAATACCTGAAGAGGAAAGGTAACCGTTCACCACATGCCTAAAAATAATGTGACCACCTCTTTTTTTTAATGAAATATGCTGATTCTGTCTCTGTTGGGCACATTTTAAGAGGCAGCTATTCATGTAGGAAAATTAAAAGAGCTACATTAAAAGAACAATTCTTTTAATTTTTTGTTTGTTTGAACCAGAGGCACGGCTAAGGAAATGTGTCTTTCAGGCTGCCAGGCAGGTCCAGTTAGTGTTTATGTACTGTACATAAGCTGCTCTCTTCTAAAGCCATGGGTCAAGTCTCTAATTGGCCAAAACAGTGTAAAACTGAAGCCATTCACTGGAACTGAATAACAAACACACAAATTCCTCTGAAGTATCATGTCGAAGTTAGCTTTTTTTTAATGTCACTGTTAATAGCTCAGAGTTAAACTGGGCCTGAACATTTACTGCACACTTTTCATGATCTATCATTCTCTGTACATATTGGCAAAAACTGACATTTTAAAGATATAAAGCAACCTCTAGAAAGATTCAACAACAACAAGGACATTGTACTGGAAAGCGTCAGCCAATAGTTCATAGCATAGCATAAAATCTCGGCACAGAGCACATTAGACTAATCAAGGAGCAACATTAAGACCAGCCTCTCACTACAGACTGTATTTTACACATGCTGTCTAGAAGTCAGATAAAACATGATCTTCTTGGCCAGAGGTGATCTGTCATTAGATTGGATTGTGTTCACTAAATAATCTAACCTGATTAATGCTAAATCATGAGGGGTTTACTGATTTAGAAAAGCACTTTCAGTTAGGGAGACACTGAATAAAGATTGGTTACTGTAAAACTGATGCAGCAGAGGTTGAGATACTATAACTTTTCTTCTCCCAGTAATGTAACTTAATGTTGCCCTTTTTGTACATGATAGCACCGTTCAAACTCCATTTGAAACACAGGTTTTCTGTGAAAAGTGTGATGTCTCCAAGCCTGAGCTGGAACAGTCTTGACAATGCCGTTATGAAATCCTCAAGGTTATTCAGAAAGTTCCAGCACAGCCACAGAAGACATACAACTGTTTGCACAGGCTGAGTAGTGATACTCATGATATCTATACTGCTCTACATGTGTGAAATCAGTGGAGAGCCCCTTGAACATGATATTATGTGACTAACCCATATCACCTGTCCAGGTGCCTCGTATCATCCTCTGGTTGATGGTGGAGCTAGCGATTATTGGCTCGGACATGCAGGAGGTCATTGGCTGTGCCATTGCTTTCAGCCTCCTCTCCTCTGGCAGGTGTTGTAAACAGATTCAAACATCAATATAATGACTGCTGGGATGAAGTTAACAGTTTAACAGGGCTTGATTTATTTGGTGTGGATTATTTCCTTTGTGTGTGCCTTTGTTCACCCATAGGATCCCTTTATGGGGTGGTGTCCTTATCACCATCATTGACACCTTTGTCTTCCTTTTCTTGGACAAGTATGGTAGGTTGGGGTTGTTTTCTGTCCGGTCTCCACACATTATCACTGGATCGCTTTCAATTACAGTGAAATAATCACCTATAACAACAGTAAAAAAGGAATGCTCATTTTTTGTGTGCAGGTCTGAGGAAATTGGAAGCCTTTTTTGGTCTGCTCATTACTATCATGGCCATCACCTTTGGATATGAGGTACACACATTTAACACATCTGCACACATGATTGAGCATCCATTAAACAGGGTGTCCTTGGTGTTGCTTCCACTGTCTGCCAGTCAGATTGTTTTACAAGGTTTGAATAAGTCAGTGATAGTGGAATGCAGTTTCACAGACTCCATTATTTATTGAAGAACAACAGTTGCTATCACAGCTCTGTAAATTGACTGAGACAATTACAGGTGACAAATGGCAGGTCATTACATTCTCAAGTGTCACACTCAGAACTGAAAAGCAAATACATTAGATGTTAGTGTGTATATGCGTGTGTGTGTTTATATAAACAACCAGTAGACATGTTAGATCTCTATCCCACTGTATGCTGAATATACACATTGCTTTTTGGGTCCCTTCTTACTGTTTTCTCCTCATATTTTCCACCATGACACAAATACGTTTGGTACATCAACAGTAAAATATAATTTATGTGTATACATAGGGCGTGTGTTTGGGGGGTTGTCACCCAATAACAAGCATGTACGCCTGCGTGTGTGTGTGTGTGTGTGTGTGTGTGTGTGTGTGTTGGGGGGGGGCTTGTTTTTCAATCCTTGTGCAGCCCAAAATCCATGAGTTACTATCTTTGTGGGGACCAGAAGTCACTTGTGGGGACCAGAGGCTGGTCCTCACAACGTAGTTTGTAAAATGTTTTGAAAACAATGGGGTGTAAAGTTAGAGAAAATGTAGGCTTTGGTTAAGGTTAGGTGCTAAGGTTAAGGTTAAGGTTAGGCAAGTAGTAAGGTTAGGGTAAGTCCCCTGGAAATGATTGTAAGTCTGTGTAGGGACCTGGTAAGTGACAAAATCAAGGATGTGTGTGTGTGTGTGTGTGTGTGTGTGTGTGGCCTTGTTTTTTTTTATACTTGTGGGGACAGAAACCCAGGAGCCCACTTACATGGTGGGTCCTCACTTTCCTCATAGGTTCTGGATGTTAGTCCTCACAAAGTAGATTGTTGAATTTAGGGAGATGACTTGGTTTAAGGGTCAGAGTAAGGTTAGGGTAGGCATGTAGCAGTTATGGTTAAGGCTGGGTTAAATCTCCATGAAATGAAGGTAAGTCGGTTTAAAAAAACCTGCTAAGTGACAAAAACACGGATGTTTGTGTGTGTGCTCACAATGATGATGCTAATATAAGTAATGTTTACTGTGTTTGTTAGCATGCTAATCTTTACTAATTACAAACAAATTATGACAAACTGACACTATAATCTTATGGTCAATAGAGGAAAAGGTGTGGGATTACCAAAGTTATCCTTAGGGTTACATGAACGTTTCTAGCCAGTTTCATGAGATTCCATATAATATTTGTTGAGAGAGTTCATTCAAAACTATATGCTGTATATCAGCCTGCAGGTGGTGCTAGGTGTACACCAAACTTAAACAGGGTTCATCCTCTGGGCACTATGAGTGTCTGCGCAAAATTTCATGGCAATCTATCCAAAAGTTGACATTTTTCAGTCTAGACTAAAGTCATGAACAGACCGGCATTAGTGAGATTCCTTCTCATTTGCCTAATACAAATGTCTACCTGTGGCTGCTCCTCCTCTGTCAGTATGTGACAGTGAGTCCAGACCAGGGCCAGCTGCTGAAGGGAATGTTCACGCCATACTGCAAGGGCTGTGGGCCTGTTCAGCTGGAGCAGGCTGTCGGGATCGTGGGAGCTGTCATCATGCCTCACAACATTTACCTTCACTCTGCTCTTGTCAAGGTGCAATCAACTGCTAAATAAATATGTCATTTTCTTTTTAATCAGCTGTATAAAACTGTCTGAACTCTATATTTAGTTGTGCAAATGTTCCCTCAGTCTCGAGAAGTGGACCGATCAAGCAAAAAAGAAGTCAAAGAGGCCAACAAGTATTTCTTCATTGAGTCAAGTATCGCGCTGTTCATCTCTTTCCTCATTAATGTGTTTGTGGTGGCTGTTTTTGCTGAGGCTTTCTATAACCGCACAAACATAGAGGTGGTAAGTATCTGTGCAGGTTCTCTTATAAGCTAAGAGTTAAACTTCAAGCCATCTCAAATATGTGTTTTCTTCAGGTGCTTGCTGCAGGTATGTGTGTTTTTTGATTCCAGTACAATGTCTGCAATCAAACAGGCAGTCCTCATTCACATCTATTCCCTCAGAGCAATGAAACTCTAGAGGTGGACATCTATAAAGGGGTGAGCTTTTAGTTGCTACTGATACTCTTGACCTTTGTTAATAAAGGGTGGTTCAACTCCGTGGGCTAACTTTAGCACTTTTAAGAGGTGATATCTCCAGCTATTTAATAGTGGACTTGCAACAGACAGAGCTAAAAATGATCAAAACTGAAGCAGGCGAGACTAAAATATCCAGACTTCTTAGTTAATAATGGGTTCCCACATTGCACAGGACAGGTAAACTCAAGTCTTTAAACCTGACTACAGTTTTTAAGGTAGGCTTTCTTATATACATTGAGAAGTGGATGACATTAGGGTTACTTTCTCAGACTCTCAGAGACCTCCTCTAGTGGCACAAAAGACAAGTTACTGTTTTTACACTGAGTAGTAGGATAATACACATGATGGTCAAACTGATCTAAATGTGTAAAATCAGTGGAGTGTCCCTTATGTTAAACTGCATTTTCATAAACTTGTCACATCACTACATTTTCATACTTAAACACCACCACATAATACTGTATATAACTGACTGAATCACTGAGTAACATGAAAGGGATTGTTATGAATCATTAACCAAACCACAGAGAGGTATTGCCCAACTCTCTCCCTCTCAGCTCGATGGAGCTTTCTAATATCTTTCCCCATTTTATTTATGGTTTTACAGTCACAATTGTACTGCTTTGGTTTAGTTTCAACACGCCTATGACTCAACCTCAGTGAAAAAGCTCTAAAACACGACTGTAGGTTTTCCTATCCTGAACCAAATGGACAGACAAACATAGACTAGCTGGAACATTTATGACTCCAAATCAGTGTTAATGTTGCTCCATATCTGCTGGGTGTGTAAATAGACAGCTGTTTGCTAACATGTTACACAACAGCACCACAAAGTGCATCCTCCAAAACAGTTTGAACATTATAGCCTTCATGAGGGTGGGATTTACTTCATAACTTTGCGGTGGTTTTACACAGCTGTACCTAATAAACTGTCAATTTGTGCTCCTCATTTGCATGTCTGTGGCAGGGAGTGGTGCTGGGCTGTTTCTTTGGCCCAGCAGCTCTCTACATCTGGGCTGTGGGGATTCTTGCAGCTGGTCAGAGCTCCACCATGACTGGAACGTACTCCGGCCAGTTCGTCATGGAGGTCAGTGGAAGGCAGGGATCAGCAGTGCACAAAAACATACACACACACACACTCAGCAAAAAACTGGGTACATTTCAGCCCTGCCCTTTACATTGGTCCCAGATATTTTATCCCATATTGATTTTTTTAAGCATCACATGTGGAAACTAGCTTTGTTTGTAAGAAAAGTAATTTTATACAGCAGCACATTGTTTGTTGGCTGAAGGTTGTAAAGAAGTGCAGATCTCTTAGGTGTCACAGACTGATGTGATTTTGTCCTCAGGGTTTCTTGGACCTGCGCTGGTCTCGTTTTGCTCGGGTGTTGCTGACCCGCTCCCTCGCCATCACGCCCACCCTGCTAGTGGCCATCTTCCAGGACGTGAGGCACCTGACAGGCATGAATGACTTCCTCAACGTGCTGCAGAGTGTGCAGGTCAGACAAGGGGGAAAAGGAGGTTCACTGCCAGCTTCATCCACACATTTGTCAACATGTTTCCACCTTCTCAACACCAGTCTCAATTCCACACAAGGCAAATGTATAAAACATTCAGGCAAACAGCAAATATGTCCTCTATCTGGTGAAAGACCTTTAGCTCTTTGAATTCTAGTTATTAAAAATTAAGCTATTTATAATTTTTGTTACCTAAGGCAGTTGGAACATAATCAAAACAGATTTAAAGGAGCAGTCCATGAATTTTACTCAAGAAGTTAAAGGATAAGGCCAGTCAGTTTCCATATTAACAATATTTTTAACGCTCCCCACACAGAGACTAAAACAACTGGCACAACATTGTGACTACCTGCCTAATACTGTTTACATAGGAGTCGATATGGCGGTTGGTTGGCACTCGTGTCACTCTGCAGCTCACTGTGCATCTTCTATGAATCCATTTGCTCGCACAGTTGTACTGTCAGGAAGAGCACAGATGTGTCTACAATTCAGTAAAAAAAAACATATGTAAAAGGAGTGAAAACTAGTCGTGAGGACGAGTTAGAGAGAATTGTTGAGACAAATCCAACAGCCTCACCACTCTAGGTGTGATATCACCACTACAGCCCCTGGCTCTTTCTCTTCATAGAGACCAATGTACAGTATTTCTCATTTTTAACAAAGATTCAAATCCATTTTAATACAAATGGAAGTTAAAAGTTTCATCTACAGTAGGTCAACCTCATCATCAGTGAGCCGTGGGCGTCTATGACCCTGTCTCCAGTTCACCATTTGTCCTTCCTTAGACACTGTTGGTAGGTACTAACCACTGCAGACCAACACCCACCAAGACCTGCAGTGTGGGAGATGCTCTGACCATCACAGTTTGGCTCTTGTCAAAGTCACTCAGATCCTTATGCATGGCTGTTTTTCCTGCTTCTAACTTTGAGGACTGGATGTTCACCTGCTGCCTAATATACCCCACATACTGACAGGTGCCACTGTAACAGATAGTCAGTGTTATTCACTTCACCTGCCAGTGGTCATAGTGTTATGATTGATCGGTGTATATAGGATAAACATGGCATCACCACTTGCAAAGATGAAACCAAAATATTGTTAATACGGCAGCTGCAATCCAATTTGTTTGCAACCTCTGGAAAACATTTCTTTTATTTCAGGAGCATTGCTGGACATAAAGTTTTACCAGGACACAGGCCCTCATTACTCAGATCCCACTTACTTTTCTTGATTTTCTGCTGCATGAGTGAAATGTGCTACACACTGTGCTATGTGACCTTCCCTTGTTTAGCCTGCTGTTCCTTGCCATACTGCTGCTTCTGACACAACTACTGGTAAAGGTAAAAATGTACAGATATTAATCTTTATGAAAACATACAGTTATATGTTATACAACATATAACATATCAGTGCTTGAACTACTGTGCTTCAAACTGTGTTGTGCAATAGATGGCTTGTGGTCACACTCCTTTCTCCAAAGACACAGACAGGTTCCTCACCACTTTCCCTTCCTGCCTCAGGTTCATTTGTTAAATGTGCATAATACAAATATATTTTGGAGCATCAGATATTTTGTTATATTTATGAAATTCAGAATGAGCAGTCCAACCTTAACATAGACCACTACATGTGATGTATTATACAACATTGATTTTATTTCATGTAGTACACCAATAAACAGCATTTTAAGAATAGTCCAATTGACCATATGCATCATTGTACGGAGCTCTAATTTACGTCACATTCAACATCTTCACTTAGTTACGTACTAGCTAACTAAACTAATGGTAGCTTGTTTACCAACTACAGCCAGGTCTCACCTCTCTCGCCCTCTTCTCTCTGAACCTCTTCCCTGACTCGGCCTTTAAAGAATTTTCTTACATCCATCTACAGGAGTCAGTAATGTTTGAGTCCAAATTCATTGGTAATATTCAAAAACTTAACTTAGTCCCCATCACATACAGTCCGTTCCTTTCTTTTGTTTCATGCTCCAGTACATAGATTGCTGCCTGCGCGTTGCAGTGCACCAGCTACGATGTGCACGATGCGCATATGTACGCATCATGGTGTACAAACCCTGAACACTGTGCCTCAGCTTGTATTTTGCTTTGACATTCTGGATTAGAACAACAAATCATTTCTTTCCTTGTTATTATCACTATAAATTAATCCACTGCCAAATATAGGAGCCTGTTAAAACTCAAATGTGTGACTTTACTGGGGCACAGCTGATCAATACTGGGGCCCGTGCCTCAGTAAAAGGGGTCTAACGACAACTATGATGCTTGATTTGTACTTTGAGTTTTTAGTTTCACTCATGTCCTATCCACTAACATGGAGGGGGCAGGATTTATGACCTATACTGCCACCAGGCATGATCGATTCACAATGGCTTCAGGCTGTCTGTCATTTACACATTCAAATGTTGAAAACATATTAGCACAACACACTGCTGCACTGGATGACATGTTTCCACATTATAACACTCCAGACTCAAGTATTTGTTCAGAATATTCAGAGATTTTGTGCATGGATAGTTGACTCTTGCTTAATTCAGGCAAACTGTAATATCACATATTAATTTTGCTTCTTTTCTCACAGTTGCCATTTGCCCTTGTTCCCATCCTCACTTTCACCAGTTTGCCGTCTCTCATGAATCAGTATGCCAATGGATTGTAAGTTTATGTTCACAACACAAAAGCCAATTCTATCCCTATGATTTAATTGTTTTTACTTTAAACATCTATTCTCTTCTTTCCACAGGGTATTTAAGATAGGAGGAGGTCTAGTGATCTTGATCGTATGTGCCATCAACATGTACTTTGTTGTGGTGTATGTGACTACACTCAACAGTGTGTGGCTGTATGTGCTGGCAGCATTCCTCTCCATAGTATACCTGACATTTGTGGGATATTTGGTAGGTATAATTAGGTTGTACAGGAGAGGATTTTACTGTGGTTGAACTTTGGCCCATTATGAACCTACAACCTGTTTAGCCAGAGCCTTGAGCAACTTTCAGCTGCTCAGGCAGTTGACGGTCTTTACAGCAATTTGGTCAAAATTACAAGTCAGACATCTCTGCTTCTGCCTTATGAAATATTGTTAGAAAGTATCATCACAAAACCACACAGTACAACCTGGTCTACAGATACACATATGTACAATGATGTTAGTCCATTGTCTCATCCTAATATATTCCGCCACAGTGTAGTGCTAAAAAGGGCAAAGGAGGACCTAAACACAGAGAAAATAGGCAGACATGTAGATGCAGTAAGTCTCCTTTAATAATAAAGTAAGCAGACTTACTGGCAATGAAAAGCACACCGAGACATTTAAGAGGCCAACTCAGGAAACATGCTTATGTCAGGGGGTCCAGACAAACAGACTGTAAGCAGGAGCAAAGTCAAGTAATCTAAGCAAATGATCTGAAGCCACAAAATCCGCAACAGACGGGTAATCTAATGAAGGGTAATAGAAACACAATAGACAATCTGGCAGAGAACACATGTATACTGTGAGCAGATAAGGGGAATGGAAACAGGTGTGGTGTGTGTGGGTGGAATTCAGAACTGGGTCGCCAGGGAGGGAGAGACAGCTGTGCAGGGCAAAGACAGAGGGTATGTGAGAAAATCTAATTTACCATAAGAAGAAAATCTGAATTTAAAAAAATACCTGTGATAAAGAATTTATTTAGAACTGAAATGTTTAGTTGCTTAATTGATCAGACGATCAACAGAAAAATAATGGACAACCCTTTTGAATATTCATGTAACTGCTTCTAGCCTTTCAAATGTCAATATTTGCTGATTTTCGCAGCTTTCAATGATAGTAAATTGAATATCTTGGTGCTTTTGGTCTGTTGGTTGGACAAAACATGACATGTTGTGCTCTGGGAAATTATAGTGGACATTTTACTCATTTTCTGACATTTTAAGAGCAACCAGTTAGTTAATAAGAATAATTTTTAGTAGCAGCCCTAAATTGGAGTGAATAGTAATGTCCTTAATGTGCAGGCATTTAAGATCTTGTTTATTTGTTTATCATTTCTATGTGCATGAATATTTTTTTTATGTTATAATACCTATAAATTATTTTACATTTTAATTGTATTGTTGTAGCCTGTTGGGATGAGAGAGATTAATATTTTGTGCAAGGTGGTAGATTTCTTTGGATATAACATTGAAAATACATTAAAAAGAGTTAAAAAGAAAAGTCAAATAAAACTTGCAATACACAGCAGCATAGTTCATTTGTTGAATGCTGCACTTTATTTTGAATTTTTGATCTTCATCTGATAGAACATTTACTGATCTGTTCCTCTGTCTGCGCTGCAGGTGTGGTTGTGTCTGATAGCTCTGGGTGTGTCCTGGCTAGATCCAGCCAGCAGGAGGGGGAATGACACGAGCATCCTGATTGAGGAGCAGGCGGAGTTTGACTCCTGAATCCAGGTGGCGGGGACATTCATTTCAAAGGTGCAGCTGTGAGCACCTTTAGTTTACTTTGATGCTGATTTATTTATAATACAAGCAGTAAACACCAATAATCTCTAATGATATACAGCCATCCATAAAATTAATGTGGGTTAAACCAAATAAGTGTCACAAAATGAGTGGATAGATGGTTTAACCAATTTTTCTAAATTAAAGTAATATAGGTTTGTTAAAATTGACACTTGTGCTCTATAACTTTATGAACATCCTATCAAATGTAGTTAACAGGACTGGCAGTGTTTGCTGCAGGTCTCAGACAGAAACAGAGGATAAGTGAAAAAATCAAATGTAAGAGGGAGATCTGATAACGAAACTCCACAAAAACAGACTGAACAGCTTCCTGCAGCTCAATCCACTGTCAAAACAATCTTGCTCTCTATCTATGTGTGTAATGTCTCCTGAAAGGCTGCAGTCGTATGCAAAAGCAATTTTAAGACAAAAATGATTGCCTACAGCAGGCAAGAGAAGAGTATTTAAGATTTTTTAAAATAAAAGTCAAGACTTTAATACCCTTTGAGGCTTTTTGTGAAGGAAACTGACGTCAGTGCTTTATAACCCGCAGACACTTTTTTTTCTCCACCTCTTCAGGCCACAGGGAGGCAGTACAGGCCACTGGACTGCTCAGATAGATTAAAATCATCCCTGTGCCTACACCATAAAACAACACATTACATGATATGATGTTTTACATTATGCCTTATGTGTTCTTACGGTTGCACAGAAATACCATTTTTATACAGTTGCAGTATCAGGACTTGACTGTAATGTTCCCAGTATCCATTCAGATGAGACTGGTGTTTGACATGCCTGTGGTGATGGTGTCTGAAGAGTTACAACTATTGTGCAACTGCATGCAAGCACTGCTGATTTCAGTGTTGCTTGAGTTCCAGTCCTGAAATGCCTCAGTGTTTGCAAGCCGAGCAGAGGCAGATGGACAGGTTTTTCTTTGCATTGTAGCAGGGAGCTTTTTTTTCTCTCCCTGTCATGGAGGCAGAGTTATGTAAGAGAGAAGAGTCTTCCCACCGCCCCTCTCTGTTTTTGTTTTTCTCAATGAGCCAATGTCTCCCTGCCTAGGCCTCACAGCCTGTCCAGTAGGCCCCTTTCCTGGAAACATAGCCTAGCAAAGGCCACTCAGGGGCAGGCCTGTGAGGTGGGTGGAGGAGGGGAGGAGGGGGCTCTTCCAGCAAATCACATGACTGTAGACCCTACAGTACCAGCCCTACATGAGGCTCTGATGCCGCAAGCACATTTCAACAGCTTGTCATCATCATGACTGGATGTAGCTAATGCATGGCAGAGCACAGAAGGCTATAAGCAGACACCGTGGATGTGGAACTAGAACCACAACACCTGATGGTGTGTGTGCACACGCAAGAGGTTAAAAGGTTAATGTGATTTGTTTTGTTTTGGGTTTTTTTTTTTTTCTTTTTTTTTGTGTAATTGATGTCAACATCCTCCGACTTTTACCAAGCTTATATAACTTGACACTTTTTTTTGGTGAATTTTGTCACATGCACCAGTTGTTTGGTAGCTTTTTCAGTGGAGGATCATTTGGCCTCAGTGCCCTCTATATATTTATTTCCAACTAATTTATGGTCATATGATCTAAGCCATTTTAACAAAGACAGATGTATTTGTACTGTATGTTTGCTGTTATGATACAGTTGAGAACATGTGAGTTGTTTTTGTGTCATGCTGTTTTATTGCAGAGCTGGCTGATTTAATGAGTTACAGTTATATAAATCATGAAAAGTGCTGTAAACAAACATCTGTACTGAACAAATACAGTAAACCACCACACGGAATTACAAGTCTGTGTCACGATTATTTAAAAACAGTCACATTTGTTTGCAACATTCACTTTGTGCTTTAACGATGATGAATTTCAGGCCTCAGGTTTGAAATGTGGTACAGTTTGTTCTCCTTTCACCTTGTGTTGCCTTCATGTGCTTGTGTATTAACTCTGCTGACTGATGAAAGATGGATGTAGGTTTATCGTGTATCTGATGTTTGAAATGACTTGTTTGGGGCAGATTTTCCTGGGGTACAACCGCAGCACCCTTTAACGCTCAGCACAGGGCCTCCTTAACAACGCCTGACTGTTGCTCTTGTCTTCTCAGAAGAATGCACACGCAATGTTACCCAAAGAAGAGCGCAAGACACCAGAGAGCAGGCAAAGATAATGAATTTCAAGTTGATTTAGTAAACAGCGGCATCAGCTTTAAAACCACATAACATTTTCCAGCTGTGCGGTCCATACTTATTTTGTATATATTTTTACAGTCTGTCAGTGCTGCCTTAAAATGGCCGACACCAGGAATGCAAACAGTGGGGCCGTTCTTGTTTATGTCTTGCGTTGTGGACACTGGCTGAGCTCGTGGTGTAATGAGACCGCATGTGTTTGGAATAGGTAGCCTTACTATCTCAACTGTGTAGTTTTCCCTTTATTAACAGGTTTATTTTTATTGTTTCTTTGTCTCTCTGGTCTTCTGAGTATACATTTTGTGGCTCATGTGTGTTTTGTGTTTTTTAAATACAGCAAATAACTGCTGTGTCATAAATCACAGTTACTCTGGGAGTGCTGCAGCAGGAGGTTTTAACTTCCAGAGGATAAGAAGGCAGTGCAGAATGATGTAAATAGCTGGGATCAACTGGTTAACCACACCATCTAACATCATGTCAAACCTACTTCTATTTATTTGAACAAGGTAAAACTAATATTAAGTGCCAGCTACTCGGAAAATTACTAGTGAAAGATATTATATAAAAAAACACGATCTGTCTGCAGCTGAGTAAAAGTATAATTTATTTGAATTCACACCAAAAGTAACATGAACTATTGATGTAATTTTATCATTCACTGGAAATAGATCCCTGTGATGACAATTTTTAGCCTTAACTGAACTGAATTTTTACATGATGCAACCATGGTGTAATGTTTATGGCCAGCAACTGCACAGTAAAGTAGCTGCATTAGAACCTGCGTACATTGTTGCACAGATGGTTGGTGAATGCCATAACATAGTGGTTCCCAGAGCAAAGTCCCCAGGCATTTTTCAGGAAAAACAAGTTACACCCTCATTTTACTACCATGTCACTGAAGGGAAGCAAAATGAGAGAGAAAATGAAAGGAGCCCGGGTCACTGGTTTCACTCTGTCCTCTGCTACCCCTGCACATCAAGTGCTGAGTTACCATGTGGTTCTACGCAGAGCTCTGTCTACCAACCAAAGCCTTCTGACATGGAGATATTCAGAGGAGAATCTGGTGGCCCCCTGGAAGAAGGAAAACTGGAAACCTGTTTTATTATAAGGTAGGTTACACAATTTATTAGGCCTAATATTTGTACATTCTTGTAAAGCTAAGTGTTGTCTATTCTTTGAAATGATAGGCTTTGTCTTCAGTAAATCACTATACACATACACTGTATTTAGTGTTTGTGACTAGATAAGCCTGTTACTGCCAGGAATGAATAGCTTGCACCCTATTGCTGCTTTAGGTTATCATATCACGATTTTACACAAAACCCGCAGGTTTTAGGATTGTTTTAAAGTGAAAATTAGGTCTAATCCAAATTTAGCGGGTAACGTAAAAATGGCAACTTCAGTATAATAAACTAATGCAAGAATCTGACATACTTTAATTCACAGACAGGAACTAAAAGCTAATCAAAATCACCGCAATGTTCACCTCATCTGGTAGCCCAGTCTACTGTGTTTATTAGCCTATGATTTTTTGTTTAAATTCAAGGCAAGAAAAAGTCCAAAACACAATATAAAGCAAACAAGGAACAAAGAAAATTAATGTATTAAAATTAAAAAAAAATACGTCCTAGCGTACAGTATACATACAAATCATTCATTAATACGTTAATTGAGATGCAGAAATGAGCGTTTGTTTATTTATTATTTCAATAATTTACAAACAATGTGTGCGGACAGCGCTGGAATGTGTTCGCTGCGGAGCGTGCGGGACAGGGAGGAATGCCTTGACCACACCCCCTCCGTTCGCACGGCCAATAAGGGAGCAGAGACGGTTTTAAGGCGCCCGCGGAGTCCCAACTGTAGAAAAACAAAACCTCGGATAACAACAAAACCCATATTCTACAACTGAATATGTACGGAAATCCATTTTCCTTTGTCGAAATCTGAGCTCGAGGCTGATTTTCGGTGTTTTTCGTCGCTGTGTCCGGCTTTTCGGGCGATGTTGTTTATCTGTAGTAAGGGGAGGCTTGAAACCGCTCTCCCTTGCCCCATTTCCTCGGTTGTTTTCCTTCTCTCGCCTGGATTCTCCATGTTGTTGGTGCAAAAGTGAGGACTTCTCTGCGACGGGAGAGGGGGGTGCTCGGCGATATTATCAGCAATAGTAGCGGTAATCCCGCGACCACAGAGCGGACTGAGTCTCAATTAGCCTCCTGAAAAACATATCCAAGTGCCTTGCCCCCTCCCAGGCGGACCTGCGAGAGAAGAAGAAGAAGGAGAAGCGGTGGCAGAATAAAGAAACTCAGGAAGAAGATAAATCCTTCTCCCACCGAGGTTTGTAACTGAGGCGGACGACAAGGTACCTCGGTGAATAATTGAGTCGACTTGTCAACAGAACCCAATGAGGGATGCCCATCAGTGCTCGGGGACAGGATTTGAGGATTTTGAGGGCTCCGTGATTGTCAGATGGAAAGTTCTGTTATCACCCAAGTGCAGAAAGAAGACGTTCAAGTGTCACCGAAAACAGGTGAGAAGGGCCTGTGTTGTATGTGTCTTTAAAACGCCACTAACACCTGCTCGGTCTTATTTGACCGTTTGTTTTTGAATAATGACCAGTGTACAGAGGCAGCCTGTCGCGCGCCCATTTGACAGTTGAGCGGTGCAAACGCTGGCTGGATGCGGTTTGAGACGCATTGCCTCTCTTGACATTTACCAGGCACATCTGTAATATCTAGATGCAACCTTTTAAAGTACAATGACAGAATCGGAAAAAATCCCACGATATTTTTTGCCCAGCGGCTGTAATCTTATTTCTTTTTCTTCAGTGATCACCTGCAGATCAAACATTAAGAAATGCACGCCTGCATATCAAACTAATAACATACAGTGCTGACCTAGGACCAGAAGCCAGGCTATTTTGGGGCTCATTGTGTTTTAGCACAAGTTTTTCGTACTGCACTAGTGAGTATAAGTTCACAGCTCCGTTGTGCACTGGGGTTCGCCATCCGCAGCTGAGCTGTTGTTGATCCTGTTTGTCTTTTGCCGTGTCTACTTTGTGTCGCTTGTTAACATGCGCGGTTGTGATCAGCGCTGCGCTCTTCTCTTCTCGGCGGTGTGTTGCCGTATCGTGGCCCGCTCTCCAAAACCTAGCTGTCGTGTATTTATGCCTATCAGGTTGCAGCTTGTTTGGCATCATCCCGTCTCCTGCTACCAACAAGTACAGCATGAGGAGCTCGTCTGTCGCCACAGGCAGCGCTACAGCACAGTGTGAACCAGGCTGTTTTGTTCACGGATAAACTACGGTGCGATGTTTTGTTCACGGATAAACTACGGTGCGATGTTTTGTTCGTGTTTTGGTCACAGAGCAGTGCGCGTCAGCTGCTCTGTTCAGCTTGTTTGTGTTTAGACAGACACCACAGGTTCAGTATTAAACCGTGATACACAGAAGCTAATAGGTGCAAAGGGGTCTGGAGAGGCTGTGGATTAACAGCGGGACTGTATAGCAATAACAGGTGCCGCGGTATTGACAGCGGAATGCACAAACACACCCTCCGCACACGCCCATTGTAGCCCCGCTTCAACGATTTCATTTGTACGCTTTCCCTTGAGCTTGAAAGAAACGATTTCCTCATTGATTCTGGCTCACGTCTCGGTTGTTCATGTCGTGAATGAATGCGTTTTGCCTTTGGTCATGTTTTGGGTTAATAAATGAATTCGGTGTCTACAATCTATGTTTTGCCTTTCCATGTTTTGTTAGGTTGAGTGGGTTGAAATTTTGTATTGCAGTCTGGATTTGTCAGTCCGATAACTCTCCGGAGGATTAATGTTCATTTTAGCATGCAGGGGAGGCCGAATGTATGTGTTGTGCCGAACACAGCCAGTACAATGATCAGGAAAAGGGCGCAGGATGGTGAAGGGCATCTGTAGAATCATCAAATCAAACTCCAGTGTCCTTTGTCTCTTAAACGTGGAGTTGCGTAACATGGTCACTGGCGCGTCTGCATTATGTCTTCAGAGCTCTGAGGGTCAGTGAGGGGGACGATGTAGATGATGGAAAACCGTGGAGAAATCTGTGAGAAAACAGTTGGCGGGCACACTTTTGGCTGTTTAGCAGCAATTCCTCGTTCTAACTGGATCTGAGTGTGTCTACCAGCTCCATCCAATGTACCGATGGCTGTAAATTCAAGCAAGTCCTCACACGAAACTCACCAGAGGGAACTTGCAAGAATGTTTTTCTCCTTTCCTCTCACCGAGTGCTCTCTGGGGCTGGGACAGCCCCCGTTACAGTGGCTGATCAAAGGGCTGCACAGAGCACTGAGGTGTGACTGCCTGTCCGGCGCCTGGCTGGCTGACTGGCTGCCTGGCTGTTCTGGCTCACTTCAGGCAACCCTGAAAGGTCTTGGAGTTTAAAATGGCTATAATGTTTTCTGTTGAAGGCACTGCTGAAGAGTGTGGGTTTTCCCGACCTCTGTGATTATATAACATGTACCAGCCATTTCCAGCAGCAGCAACAACAACAGCAGCAGAGGCAAGCACATTAAAAACAGATTTCATATGCGGGCTGTGTTTTCCCTGTAGACACATGGACGGGGCCTTAAGGAAAGAGGATGTTCATTCTATATGTTACAAGCAACCAGTGCCTAATCATTCTGTATTGCATAATATTTGTGATTGATTTATGGATTTTTGTTTTTTCATTTCTGTTTAGCTTATAACAAACAGGACTTGTGTGTGTGTGTGGAAAAACAAGATTAGATTGCATGTAGCGGATGTGTGCTGTGGTGTGTAATTCAAGGCCTCACTTAGCATTCCCATGCTGACTACATGCAGCTTTACCGGGTTTTCTCTCTCTCTGCTGAACAGGACAGGTGAGCCGGGCTGCTCTGAAACAACCTCAAAGTTGTAACCTCTTCAAAGCACTCTTCTGTTGCCTCCAAGCTCAGGATGGCCCCAAGCCACTGCCACCGCTACCACCACCTTCCCAGCAGGCCTTGCTGGAGTCGCAGGAAAATGGGATGGTTGTCAAGGTAACACTATTCTTATTCCAGCACTACTTCACACCACTGAAAACAGTCTGAGGGCTTCAGCTCAGTCCTGCCTTTATTTTTGTTTATTCAACATTTGACTTCCTTGTCACACCCACACTATAAAAAGGAAAAAAAAAGGAGGTGTTTGAATAGTTTGGCTGTGTGAAACAGTATGAAAACACATATAAAGAAATGTCTTCAACTATTTTTTTTTTTTTTTTTTACAACTGTGCACTAAAACCACCACTGCACCTGCTATAAACATCTTGAAAGCTAACCTCAACTGTCTGCGGATATGGAATCAGTTCGATGTTCACACTTGAGCCTCCAAGGAAGATAAGAACAGTTATCAATCCTTTAGGCAGATGGCACGAGCGGGCAGAGAATGGAGTATTGTGTGCCTCATAATTGCTGAGGTTGAGAAAAAAAAAACCTTGAGCGTCCGCTGCACATGGCTGGCCACGCTGGCGAGCGCTGTCAGCCTGATTAGAGCTTCAGTAGCATGTAAGGAGCATTTTAATGAGATGCCATATTTGTTCACATTGAGGAGTGTCCTCCAGCATCAGGAGGAAACAGGAAGCAGCATGTGTAAGGCCTGGTTATTGTCTGGCGGGCTCCCACTGAAATGAAACTGAATTAAACATTGGTGCCAATGGGGTTGTGTTTCATCAGACTTATTGTTTAGTTGGTGAAAGAAGGCTGTTATTGCTCATGGATATGGATGACATTTTTCTCTATCTTGCCTTCCTTAATGGATACGCCGTTTCTGTTATGTAATCTATTAATAATGAATTTCAGTTTGACTGTGCTCATAAAGAGCCTAGAACGAAACAAATTAACAAAGGGCAGATCTGAAAATTACATTATATCCAGGGTTGTTTTCCCTGCAGGTCAGTGCCTGTAGAAGATGCTGCTGGATGCATAATGAAAGACATAAACATGTGAATCCCCGAGATATACAGCAAAGTATATCAGAATATAATTAAGCCCACAGTATATAATTAAGCCCACCCCTTCAGCCTTCATCACATACATGCCTCTCTAACACAGTCTTATCTTATTTCCCAGGGGTGAATTCAAATGGCCAGGCTTTGATTTTCATATGAATCACTGTACATTTGGGACTAATAATGCTCCTCAGCCATAAACATAGCACAGACAAGACAAATTGTATAGACGTTATTAAAGAAATCTGTGTGTCTCCTCTGCAGTCTGAACCCAGCCTCCTGCCTGAGGTGAAAGCCCACGACCAAGGCAAGATATGCATGGTCATAGATCTGGATGAGACCCTGGTGCACAGTTCATTCAAGGTACCAAGACTGCCATCCACTCAATCATCAGATAAGCTTAGTTTTATTTACGCCAGAGCTAGAATTTGCCTCATTGTATCATGTTTAGTATTGTTGTTTGACTCTGAAAGTATATTCTTTTGATTCACTAGAAATAGCACATTTGAGCAATGTCAGGTTTCTCTAGGTTAATAGATAACTCTAGCCTGTATCAGTGCTGCGTCGGACTGGTTCTACTATGATTATTTCTTAATGTGAATTTGTTTCTTCGCATGTGTTTGAGGCACATGAAGTGAATTCTGTTTTGTTTGCTACGTACTGTGATTTATGAGGAGTGCGGATCTAAATGTTCAGTGTGCAGCTGTTATGTAATGCCATATGAATGTACACAGCGCAGCTCATGTGAACGAGCATGCCAACCGTCTCCCTCTGTGTCCTCCCCTCCAGCCTATTAGTAATGCAGACTTCATCGTGCCTGTGGAGATAGAGGGGACCACACACCAGGTAAAGTAGCGTGTGTGTGAGCGTGCTTGCTGTCAAGGGGAGGGGGTTATGTTTGTGTATGTATGTTGATGTGTTTGCAGCCGTTGCTTAGCTGAAAAGGGATGGGTTTTATAACTGATCAGCCAAGTTTTCAGTGATGAGCACATGGAGCCCTCTTCTGGCCAGATGTTGAAAAAATGGATACACAAGAGGAATAAAACGAGTTAGTTCAGCCCCGTTCATCTAAAATGTCATAAAATAGCAATATAGTACATACCGCTGCCTCTGTGAAGAAGGTGTTGAAAACACTAAAACTGTGCTGCAAAAAAAAACAGCATGGTGTACTGGACTGTTTGTTCAACTTTGGTGTAGAGGCTGTCACTATTGGACATATGGAAAAGTCAGAGATGTGATTCCTGGAGCCCCTGTGCTGGTGAGGAGTCCTCTGTGGGCCTCTGCCTGGTTCAAGTAATCCAGGATAGGCTGGTTAACGCTGGCACGGCCTATTCTTGATTACTTGTTTCAGGAATTGGCTATAAGCAGCTAACGGGTGGACGTGATAAGTTCATGGTGCAAATGTAAAGCAGTCAGATGGAATATTCTGCAGATTAAACTGTTTACAGATGGTCTGTGTGTTTTACAGGTGTATGTACTGAAGAGGCCGTACGTGGATGAGTTCCTGCAGAGAATGGGAGAGTTGTTTGAATGTGTGCTGTTTACAGCCAGTCTCGCTAAGGTACTTTACATCAGATCCTGAAATAGAACTTCATAGTTAATTGCGCGCCAAGTGTCTTTGTTTGATGTTTGATGTGATGTCTGATGTATGAGATGTTGTTCTGCTTTCTCTCGTTTTCTCTCGCCTTTTAGTTCTGCTTTTACTGTGAGAGCAGCACCTTAACAGGCAGTCTGTCCACATTAAACCCACAGTGTGTTTCAGGGCTGGATCGCACCAGTCATTTATTTGATATTACCTAAACTTCTAGTTATAAACTCAGTGAGATTTACACTTGACTAAATAAAAATAGGTTGCACCACACACACTAGTTCTTATGTAGAGATTGTTGCTAATTATTTACACATACAAACCACCAGTGGTGGAGTAAGTGCTCAGATTCTTTACTTAGTAAAAGCAGCAATTCCACAGTGTAAGAATACTCTGTTATAAGTAGAAGTCCTGCATAAATATGATACTTGCATAAGTAAAAGTACAAAAGTATGAACATCAAAATATATTTAAAGTACCAAAGTAAAAGTACGTATTATGCAGAATGGCACAGTACACGTTAATGTATATCAGATTATTGGATTGTAGTTATTGTGTACGTCACATTTGACGCTGCAGCGGGTAAAGTGGAGCTAATTAAACTAACGTATAATTTGAATGAATCTGTACTGCCAGCTAGCTTATGAATTTCCCACCAGGAATCAATAAAGTCTTATGATTATAGTGTATGTTATATTATTAATATGTTTCTGAAAACTAAAGTTATCAGATAAATGTACAGTATTTGTCTCTGAAATGTAGTGAAATCAAAGTATCAAGTAGCAGTAAATGAAAATACTCAAGTAAAGCAGAGATACCTCAAAATTGTACTTAAGTACAGTAAATGTACTTAGTTACTTTCCACCACTGGAAACCACCAGGTGTAACTTCTACACATCTGTCAAAACTAATAATAGTTTGGTGACATGAGCCATTTAGACTGGAGACCTTTAGATTGATTCAACTCTTAATAAACATGCTGTTTAATAATGGTGTTTTTCACTGAAATATAACAATACACTTCAGATTACCAAACGTATGATTATGCTAATAATTTCTGACTAAATAACTAAATAGTGCCACATAGGGTAGCATAATCGCATCCATCCATTCTCTTCTGCATTAAACTCTGGAACACACATATTTCTATGGCGTAAAGCCACCTAAAACTACTACTTTTGGCATTTATGTTCCAGCTTGTGATGCTGCAGAGATTCCTTTAAGTGTTAGGGATGACTTTAGAACACAAAGGTAGGACTGGATTGGTGAATAGCTGCCGCGGCCCAGTCCAGATGAAGTGGTTTTGGCTGTGTGATGCTGTTGGTTAGTTACTTCCTGTTAGAATAAATATCCACCATGAGTACAACCTTACCTGCTCCTCCCTCACCCACTTCCTACATCTCCCCCGGCCTCCATCAGTATGCAGACCCAGTGACGGACCTGCTGGACCAGTGCGGTGTTTTCCGAGCCCGGTTGTTCCGGGAGTCTTGTGTATTCCACCAGGGCTGCTACGTGAAAGATTTGAGTCGCCTGGGCAGAGATCTGCACAAAACTATTATCCTCGATAACTCTCCTGCTTCCTACATCTTCCACCCTAATAATGCTGTGAGTTTTGATCTGCTTCAGTTACAGTAGCTGTGATGCACTATATGTGTCAAAAAATGTAAATAATATTCATATCTCATTCAAAAGATGTGGTACCTCTGTCTCATCTAGAAAACCTTGGGTGCAGACGTTTAAGAACTTCTGGGGCTAGTAGAATTACACAAGTGATAAACTGGAACCAGACCATTTTTTTTCCTGGACAAATGATGATCAATCAGTTATCCTTGTTAGGGACTCATTTTCTGATGACTGACTGATTGTTTCAGTTCTAATTCAGATTTATAGGAATGTCCACACATAAGACATTACAACCTGAGCACAGAGTGGCCAGACGCAGTTTATATGTGATTTGTTTATCTAATGTGCATAAAGGCCAATTGTGACTGTTTGTTTTGGTCAGGTTCCTGTGGTGTCATGGTTTGATGATGCGGAAGATGCTGAGCTGCTCAACCTTCTGCCTGTGTTTGAAGAACTTAGTCAAGCTGATGACGTTTACACCCGGCTGGACCAGCTCCGTGGACAAGGGCCCTGCTCAGCTCCTCTTAGAGTTCTGCTGTGAAACCTCTTCAGCTACAATAATACTGTATATTGTCAATAGATATAGATAGATAATAGTCTCCAGATGCTGTTCTCCTAGCCTCTGCACAAAAGTCTCTGTTTAGAAACTTGTATTAGCGTGGGGTTAAGGAAATTCCAAGCCTGGAAAACCCAGGCTCAAACAGAACTATAGATCAGAATCTGAGGCTTTTCCTCTGAGCTTCAGTACCAACAATATTGACACCAGCTGTTTGGAAGTACTATGTGAAAGAGTGGGAAACAACAAGCAAAGCAGTCCCATCGCAATCACTCCAGTTAGTATGAATAATAAAGTATAAAGTTCTTTTGCCAAAGCAGAAGCCTGTCTGCCCTGACTTGACTTTTGGACATAGTTTTTGTTTTCATTTTTATTTTATCATTGTGCCTTTAAGGAACAACAAAAAAACATCAGCTCTTTTTTAAAATTTTCACCAGATTTTATACATGTACTGATTTGTTTTTCTAAGTTGTTTTATAAGGAAATCTATTTTTAAAACAGTGAACATGGTTCTTCTATGCAACCCAGTTCTGTAATTACATGGACAGTACCTCTTAGGCAGCCAGTCAATAATTGCATTCAGTAGAAGTAAACATTACTGTAGCCTTACAGATGAGCAGTATGACAGTATATATTACTCATTTGTACGATAAACATAATTTCTACAAAATATGCTAATAGATGTCAGTAATGGTCAGATTGCTATTTGATATTATTGGTTATAGCCAAAGTTGAGTAAATGGGGCGAAAACTTGTCTTTGTTGGTCCACTGAAAGCAGACACACTGGAATATGTTGGCACATAGGACCACGCCGTAAACGCCACAGTTTTCAGTCAAAGGTTTAGTAATAGTTTGTTACTGGTTTTTTTCTAATTACTGTGTGACAAACAACTTGCACGTGTTTTGTATCAACAGTGCTCAAAGTAAAACCCGTGCCTTTGAAATCCAGACAGAGAATGGTGATTTGTAGGCTTACACACGCTGATGTGTCATGCTGAGTGTGAGAAAACTGTCGAGAGTAAGTGTAATGCCATGTGGCTGTGGTATTTGCAGTGCAACACTTGAAAGTATCAATTTTTTAACATATGAGTGTTTTTTCTATATTTATTGGCCAAAAACCGGCATTGTCCTGTACGTCTTCTTGCTTACCATTTTATAATGACATCCATCAGCCTACTTTGAAGCTGGCCTTTTGTTTGCTGCACAGCTTTTGGATGATGGTTAAATCAACAAATACATGTATAATAAATGTACAATCATTCAATCATGCAAAAACATTTTTTTAATTTTACCTTGATTACAGATAGAGATATTTTTTGGGACTATGTTTCCTGGGTAATGTACTTTGATGTTTGTCTGATGCAACTGTTGCCTGTTAAACTAGTAAAATATGACAATGAAAATGTACCATTTGTGATGACCTAAAGTATTTGTCCAGTCACAGTTGGCCTTTGTGTATCAGAAAAAAAAATCTAAACTCATTTTCTCTACCAGATTGACCAAAACTCTAAAAGACAAGGTGCTATCAATTTTTATTTAAAAATAAAAATTGGTTATATTTTACTGTCTTTGTGTGTTTCTCTCCTCATCACACAAACAAAGCCCTTTCAGCCTTAGTCTGCATGTATAAAGCTGTCTTTTTTGTGTATTAAGATGAACACTTAGCATATCGTTGTGCACACAGCATTACACATAAGCATATCCAAAGTGTGGCCACTACAGACATGTTTTATACCTGATTTAATACTGTACTGAAGTGGAATGTTACTAAGTACATGTACTGAAACAGTTGAGTACTTACATTTTATAATACTTTTTTATTTCCCATTCCAATATATTTCTGAGGGAAATATTTTACTTTTTACTCTCAATACATTTGTCTGATGGCTAAAGTGATATTTAGGTTTTGAATTGAAAACTTATAATTATTTTGTAAAATATAATACTTTGTAACCTGGTAAGCAGCCCAACTTTAATTATATCATTATATTATAAAATGTATTTTATTTTTTATTAAATGTTACAACAGAATTTTGAATAATAATGGTTTTGGCCCCACCACCACCGCACGCAAGCCTCTTCAGGATAAGTAGTATAGATAATGGATGGATGGATATATCACTGGGCAGTTCAATCTGTAAACTTCCAACTTCATGAAGAAATGTTTAATTACATTCTAAAAACTTGAATTCCTTAAAACATGTAGGGGAAATCTGTCAGTGTAGTAAGAATACTGTTAAATGTTTTAAAAAGGAAAGTTAGTGGCTTAAAAGGCCAGAATGAGGCAGTTTGCAGCACAAACATTTATAAAAAAAAATATAACAGTTTGTTACACTGTTGGGTTTATTTTAGTTTTGTTAAAGAAAGTGATACTGTGAGGACTTGGGTACAGACTGAAATGACCTAGATACAAGGGAGATTTTGCTGACAAAATATTAGAAACACATCACAGGTGTTGTATGAAGAATACCTGCACAAAACCTTCTTGCTTTAAGATGACAGTGCTAACCACTGTACCACCATGCTGTCCCTGCTCAGATTTTAGTTGTCTGAACTTTATGTCAGAAAGCGTTTCCTGAAAAGGGGGTAGCATCTGGCTGAGAATCATCCCTAACCATATTCAGGGCTTTGCACAAAACCCACACTTTGTTAACTGCAGTCTCTGTATAGCATTTGCTTCTGCCGTGGTCTGACTACCAAAGTCAGCACACTTTCTATAGCACTTTCTGTAGCTTTCCTAAAAGTGCCAGATATCCTACACTTATGCAAAAAATATAATCTATGAGGTGCCAACTTTACAATTTTGTGAATGTTGCTTTCTCTTTTGAGAGCTGTAGAAATCATAATGCCAAGACTCTTCCACATTTTCAGCTGGTTCCCTGGAAATTTCAAGAGGCTGTTTCCCATCCTGTAGGCTGCCTCTCCCAACATTTATCTTTTTATTTTTCCCAGTGTTGAGCTGAAGGTAATGATCACTCTACACCAACTCACAAGAGTGGACATCTCTTTAGGGTGATTTATTTGTTACTGCCAAGTCACTGCAGTGTCAGCAGATTTGAATATTTAAACTGAATCATCATGAATAGTACAATCATTTGTCTACAAGAAGTAAAGCAGTGGAGAAAGGTTGCAGGCCAGTGAAGCCCTGATGTTAATTGTAGGCTGTAACTTGAATGTTGTTGGTTTTTACCACTGCTTCCAGTTTTGAAAGAAGTCAAGAATCCGCGGCTTCATTAACTCCACTTTTCCAAGTTTTTGAATGAGTTTCTCAGAAATTACACAATTAAAAGCAGAATGTGTATCAACTAAAAATATGCATAGGCCTACATGAGAAAGGAGACTCCAGATGTTTGAACCCATGATATAGGCACAGAGACACTGCATCATGCACTGACTTATTCCCTCTATATGCCTCTATAAGACAGGGACCTCTGAACCAGCTTTTCAAAAACATTCATTGTGACTGAGATGAGGGCAACTGATGTGTAATATTTATAGTAGCTATTCAAAGACATGTTGCTTGGGAACCTGGCAGGTGAACCAATTCTTTAGTGGTTCATTAAGTTATTTCTCTGTGATAAAAGGCTGAGGGAAAGGGGTGTCAACTGGTGTCACTGACCAGTCACAGCAACCCCACAACTTCAAAATCACTTAATTTATTAGGTAAATCTGAATCATCCGCTAGCACACCCCTTTTCTTCTTGAACTCTTGCCATCTGTTGTAATTGCCACACACTCTTCTATCCCTAATAGGCTTTTGTTATCCTACTTTGCTACTCCTAAATCAAATATAGACTATATACATGATTTTTATATTACACTACTTAAAGCATTGTTGTTATTTACAAATAGCACTTTGAGACCATTGTCTTAAGAAGTGGGCCAAATATTGCTTAGTTGGTAACAAGTTTATGAAGCAGTTAAATATATGTGTCGGCCATTTTGAGTGTGCCGAGGACATTTCTCAGTAACACCAGGAAGTGCTTTTAAATGTAACAGTTTAACGGAAGGCTGTGGATATCTGTAAAGTCAATTTGGTTTTAACGCCCATTAACTGTAAAACAAATTGCAGGTTTATATATGTCGAACAGTAACGTGGCATACCACCATATTTTCTATTTTAACCTTGTGAATCGGAAGCGCAATTGACTCACCACGCGGAAGTTAGATTCCGATTCGTTAATGACAGTGTGCGAGCGATTCTTCTTTTTGTTGTAAAAGGGCGCGAGACCTCTTAGTGAAAGCCATAATAAGGCTGTTTGAAACCCACTGTCAGATTGGCTAAACCTTTATTCCATTCATGAAAGCAATAATAATAATAATAATAATAATTTTCTTGTATTAAATCTTTGGGAATAATTAGCATGGGAAAGACATAACAATCTAATGTCTATGTATAATGTTTTCTGTTCTTCAGGCTCTTCACTTCACACACATTCACTTTGAAAAAAAAATGCATACAAACACAAAGAAGGGGAATAAAGTAGAAAATAAGTTGATAAAGATTAAAGTTGTATCTATTAAATACATTTATAGTTTGCAAGGGCTTTTTGTTTATAGATGCAAAGATAATTTCATTATAACTTTTTATCCTTCGTGAAAACACAAAACATGGGTCTGTTACCATTAAATTTGCATTTATGTATGTAGTATGCTGAGAAATATAAACAGTGAATCTGAAGCCAACTTCAGTGTCGTAATTTTCTGGGCGTTTCCATAGTGACATCAGCAGGCCGCTGCGCACTGACTGACACGTACTGTTGTTAAAAAAAATAGCTTAGAGCAGGGAACAGGCGACGTGATAGGTGGGTAAATTATGTTATCATATTGTATAAATTTCTTAAGTTTGTCGGATTAATGGTGGCTATAACATAACCAGCATTATCTGTTGCAAAGTGAACGAGACGTCGAATTATGTTGACAGAGGAGCAAATACTAGCTCGCCAGGCTGCTTAGCTACTGGCTAGCAGCGTTAGCTGTTAATATGATCGTCTCTTGCGTCAGTTTTTGGCTGCGACTCGACTGCCCTGCCCTGTTCTAACAACGTATCTGTTTTTGAATTAATTAACGATTGATTGATATATCTGATATTGTCGCCAGCTAACATGTATAACGTCGACATGAACTGATAGCATGTTAAGAGGAAGTACGTTACATTATTTACGCATTTTAAGCTAAGCTAGCCAAGGGACTCGGCGCTTTAGAGTTAGCGGCAACCTGTTGTATAACTTGGCCAGCTAATGTTTCAAGTCCAAATCTGGTTTAACCAAACGAACGTTATACGACATGCATGTGTGTATCACTAGGGGAGGAAGTGGTATTCAGATCATTTAATGCTTCGCTAATTACCAGGTTTTTACAAAGTGGTCGTGTGTTTTGTGTGACAAATGTAAATCTGAAAATAAGCAATTGAGTATATGTAGTAGAGTAAAAAGTACAATACCTTCCTGTAGAGTGGAAATATAAAATGCTGATAACACCAATGCACACAAGTAGAAAAGCAGAGTAAATGTAATAAATTTCCACTACTACTCAGTAATAAATGATATGTGCTTTCAGTTTCCATTGTATAATCATGAGTTTCACTTCACAGGAGACTGATTGAAATTCTCTTTTGAAGTCAATTCCTGGTGCCACCATGAATGCGTTTGACCGCAGTATCAACATTGATGCTCTCTTCAAGTTCTCCCAAATGTATGGAAGCATGCAGTAGATTATGTGATATCAGTCTTGTGCTTTATCTGCTTTGACTCATGTTTCTACCTTTTATGCCCTGTTCATTGTAATCTCTTTTGCAGATCTCATTCCACCCAGGTGCACTTGAAGAATGTGTACTCCAGCTTGGCAGTTTCTATGCTTGTGGCTGCAGCTGGTTCCTATGTCCATGTTGTCCTGCGACTCTTTCAGGTAACATTAGCAGTGGCATTAGAAAGTGAGTGAATCCTTTGGAATTATCAGCATTTAGGTGTAAATTTGTCTTTAAAATATGGTAAGACCTTCATCCAGGTTACATTTTATGGACAATCTGATTTAACTAAATGGCATCAGATCACTATATTGTTCCTGATCATGCTGACTACATCATTCAAACATTCACAGTGTTGGTTGGAAAAAGTATGTGAGCCCCTTGGCCAATGACACCAACACACTTGGAGTCTAGACTGTGAAGCCAGGTTGGAGGTGTGCCTTAGAGCTACTGGGATTTATTTAGCAAAGCATTTAGTTTGCTAGTCACAAGCAGGATATGCTTTTTGATTTGAAAGCTGGAAAGAGTCACAGAGTTGTCAGGGTTTAGATATTCATCAGTCACAGTTGGATAAATATCTAAAGCCTCAGAGGTAAAAAGGTCTGGAATAACAGCTAAAGGCTCAAAGTAATCACTGGAGCTGCTTAACATCTCCGTTCATGAGTCTGCCATACACATCGTGGTGCATGGAGTCCATGACACCACAGAGGAAGCTGCTGTGCTCCACAAAGTCACCTAGGGCGCTGCATACCAACATGAAAACCTCATTTCATGGTTTGGAGCTGCTTTGCCGCCTGTGGGCCTGGACAGATTCATTATCATCGAGTAATTTATTGAGCAATCTTCCAGGATGATGTCATGGCTGTCCACTAGCTGAAGTTTCATCATCATAGAGCAGGACAGTGACCCTAAACATTGAAGTAAATCTACTACAGAAGGGCTTCTAACACAGAGAATCCATTTTTGGAAAGGTCCAGTCAGAGCCCAGACCTTGACCCAACAGAGATGCTACGTAATAAGCTCAGGGAGCTGTTCACACCAGACACCACCAGGAATAAGTCTGAGCTGAAGTGGCTCTGAGGAAGAATGGTCCAGAATTCCTCCTGAACATAGTGCAGGTCTGATCCACAGCTACAGGAAGCTTACTTGAGGTTATGTTTTAAAATCCAAAGGTTAGCTAACTTTCACCACTAGCACTGTGAATGTTTAATGACTGTTCAATAAAGACAAACTAACAGAATAGTTTGTGCTTTTAGCTTATTTGCACTGTGTTTGTCTGTACTTGTGACTTGGATGGTGATCAGATCACATTTTATGATCAATTAATGCAGCACAACTGGCCATTCCAAAGGGTTCGCAGACTGTACTTTTTCACTGATGGATGTGGATATAATATACTGCCTTTCTGCACCTAGCACAGTGTATGTTTAAAGTTTAAATAGTTTGGCAGTAAAAGCAAAAAAAAGTTCATGTCTACAGAGTCTACATGTCCAGGTTGATCCTCTACATCAGTGCAAATCATGCTCTTTAGGAAAGTATAAACAAAAAGCCATTTTTTCCTTAATAATGTGAGATGATGTACACACAGTACAGCACAGTACTTGGTGATGAAACAATTTACTGCAGTGTTTCCACAGTACAGTTGCACAATAATGGGACCTTTGGAGTTGGTTTAAATTTGAAGCCCGGCTGAATACAAGTTAGTGAAGTCAGTGTCTTGTGTCAAGCTTAAACTTTCCAGTCATTTATAGTGAGCACTGCCACCACTGTTGATTTTTCACCTGTTAGTATTTCATGTAATAACAGCCTGTAGGAGGCAGTGCAACTGAGCTGAACAGATTGTGTGTTATTCTGTAACAAAATATTTGGAGCTTGAGGTCATCATTGCTACCAGCATTCCCAGTTGTTATTGTGGGATTTACACTGTTGTAAGGAACAGAATGGATCTGCTTGTCCACATGAAAGTACATCGCCACAAAGGCTCAAGTCAGTCTTATCTGTGGAGCAAAGAGTCATGCAGAAGCATTTCATGGTGCTTTACAGAGCGATAAAATGGAAGGGCAAATAGCAACAGAAGACCTTCTCTAAAGGCATGTTCACATTATGGCAGAAAAATGTGTCTTTTGTTGCATGTTCTGCTCTGGTCCGCATAGAATCTCGAGTAGAAGGTCCCTGGGCCGCTGTAAAAAAATGTCTTTTCATAGCTACAATGCTAATGTTACTAGCAGTAGATCACTATGTTTTAGAGGCTCACACTTTTTTTTATAAACAATCTTGTAGCAGCACTTGTGTGCTGTTATTTTGCTAGCTAAGTGGGTTGGCTAGTACCCACTTAGCAGCTTTACCTCATCTTGACATGAGGACCATATGTTAATGTAGAGTTTGGGAAATTCAGAAACCCAAGTAGGCAGACTAGTTTCATGTCAGTTTAAGCAGTGGTCGGCTGCGCACAAAGGTCCATGCATCTGGGGTCAAAGTTGAACACCCCCACTCTGCACTGTGTACCTTGGACATCTGAGCAGAGCCTTGCACCACACCAATTACACAACAATGACGAGGAGCACTCAAAAGCTGTTTATCTGCAATAACGTGAACATGCCATAACTTTGTCGTGTCTGCTTCACCTGTGCCACTGCTAAGACCATTTATAGCACATTCTCTTGTACTTATCAGGACTCTGCAGGCACTTTAAGATATGAGTACCAGGTTCAAGGTACAGGTTTGTCATTGGTAAGATACTGAGCTAGAACTTTATCCATCATCCAGAAGGACCGTCTCTGCCATCTCTTACTGGGACCCTGTTTCTTCAGCTGGGTTCAACCTGCTACTGTAACACTAACACTACACTGTTTTCAAAGGAAAGGAGAAACCTTCCCAGAAACTGGCACTGCCTTTGAAAGAACTGTAAAATGATACTATGGCCAGGATTGGGACCCAGCCTTATTTCACATGTTAACTGAGTGTTTGGTATCTCAGCCCCAGTGTTGTTCACCTCGTGCCCTTGTCTTCAGGGAGGTGTGCTGTCTATGCTTGGCTCCCTGGGAATGATGTTCTGGCTGGCCATGACACCACACAACCCTGAGACAGAGAAGAAGAGGCTGGCCATCCTCGCAGGATTTGCCTTCTTCACAGGTAAACCGAGAATGTTGCTGGGAATGTGCCAGGTTACAGTGGTTAGTTTGCACATGAACACTGCTGAGTCTGCTATCTGTTTTGTCATATAGTAGTGTTTGCCTTTCTCTCACTGTGTCCAGGTGTTGGCCTTGGCCCCACGCTGGACTTTGTCATTGCTGTCAATCCGAGGTATGTGAAAGACCGCTCAGTGTTCAACATCTGCATGTGTTGGAACAGCTAGCTGAAGAAAGTGTAAACATTATAACTGAAACCTTTTAACCAGTGGTCTTAAAACTAAGAAGCAAATGCAAAGAGTACTGTGTGATGACTGAGGGTTCTGTACATGTGTGTATTTACTTAAAACGTATTGTCCTGGTGTTTCTCCTCAGCATCATTGTGACAGCTTTCCTGGGAACCTCCATGATTTTCATTTGCTTCACGCTCAGTGCCCTCTATGCTAAACGCAGGAGCTACCTGTTCCTTGGAGGTAATGGGAGGTTTTTGTTGTTGGGACATGAATGTGTACTCCTTTAGAAGGGCATGGTGTACTCAGCCTTCACCTGCTCTTCTTGTCAGGCACACTGATGTCCGGCCTGTCCATCCTGTTCCTGATGTCCCTGATGAACATGTTCTTAGGATCCATGATGCTGTTTCAGGTGATTAAACTCCACACTTCACTTACAGGTTGGCCAGCTGTTTGTCACAGTGTGCTGTGTAACTCATGTGTGTTGTGTATTCTGATGTCTTGCGGCAGGCACACATGTACCTGGGGCTGCTCGTCATGTGCGGCTTTGTCCTGTTTGACACTCAGCTCATCATTGAGAAAGCAGAGAATGGCGACAAGGACTATGTCTGGTGAGGATATGTACTGTATGAGCAAACTCCACCTGAGCCCTTATCTGTTGGCCCACACCTTGTCATAACCAAATACCATGCAAATACTCGAGCCTGTAGTGAGGTGTACAGCTGCGCACCAGGCCTCGCAAGCAAACTGGTCACATAAATTGTACATGTTTTTAAAGGCACTGTGTGGACTTGTTCCTCGACTTCATCACCATCTTCAGGAAACTGATGGTCATCCTCGCCTTGAATGATAAGGTACTGAGTGTGTTGCAGAATTCTGACCTTTTAAATGCTAAAGAATAAGTGTAGTGACATTTTATGTTCATTATTTTCCATAAATCTAGTGAAGCGACCAAATCAATATTGAATTGATCCTAATAACAAGTGTTATCTGTGTAGTAAGACCTGATGGCTCCATTGTCCAAAAACTGGCACTGGGTCACATGTTGTTTCATCACAGTGAACACACACTGTAGTGTGTTTAGACTCAGTCGTGCTGCTGGAAATACTCCCTGTGAAGCAGCCAGTGTGCATTAATCTGCAGCTCAAACCTGTCTCTGACAAATGGAAGAAACCTTGCTCAAAATGACAGTGCCCAGCTGTTGCTAGGAGATTACTGAGCTTTTTAAACAAAGAAACAATACATGTCTGAGCCACATTTAAAAAGCTACTTCAGTTACTTCATGTATTTCAGTGACAGTGCACTTGAATGTCAATATCACAAATGTACCATTGTTAGTCAAAAGGCTTATTTTCAGCAGTCATCCCCAGATGTTAAATTATCCATTAAAATGACACGAAAGGGCTGTTAACAGTAGGAACCAGTGGCTGAGAACCTGAGATGGACTGCCACATCATTAGTTTGGGTCTTTTCATGGGATATCAATAACAAAAACATATATGCTGTTACAAACCTCAACTTTTTATTAGTGATGTAGATGACATGCTGCTTTGAGATGGTTGGCTCAGCCAAACCTTTTCTCATGTTGGTCTCAGGGATCCAGCTGTGCAGAAATCATTGGTTTCATTTGCTGCTGTTTTGAGATACGAGACTGTTCTAGCAGTTGGGAACCACTGGACTCAGGAAGCTCCTGCATATAAAGCAGTGAAACTATTTCATCATGAGCTGCTGCTCATGCAGTGGTGCATCAGTGTCCAGTAATAATTTATCAGTCAGACCAAGTGTGTTTTTCTTATAGTACTTCTGTACATTTACTTGAGTAACAGTAAGAACTCGGGACTTACAGTTGTAAGTAGTAGTAGTTTTTACATTGTGTCGGTACTTGAAGTAGATTCTTCCAGCACTGACTACTGGAGGTAGATATATCACAATGACCAGCCCATTTAACAACACGTATCAGCATGGTGAGAGTTTATTTCAGTCTTCTGTTAGGATTTATTTTGACTCTTTATTTATGAAACTAATGATTTGTTCTTCTTTCAGGACAAGAAGAAGGAGAAGAAGTAGAGGACTGAGTAGCTGGAAAGTAAAAACAACCCGTCAGAGAAGGCACAATTTGCATTGCACTTGGTGCTTTTCACTTTGTCTTCATTTTTTTTGAATTAACTCCTATGTGGTCTTATCTTATTGAACTTTCTTTGATTTATTTTTGAAGCTTACAACAAGGGTTAAATGTGCATGTATGGTACACTTAATGCTAGTCCCAACATGGCTGTGAGTGGAGTAGACTCAAGTGGCAGTGACCGTGCGCAGCCTGTAGAGGGGAGCATTGTCCTGTGAAGGCTCCCAGAAACTGAGCAGCACTTAGTGAAGTTTCATGTTGTTATGTAGTGCCATAATTTAAAGTGACATGATAGGCTCCTTTAATGGGTCATCTGAGCTTTGGGGTTTTTCAGTTGTGTAATTTCACTGGTTGATTTGCTTATTTATAATTTTCCTCAGTAATTTAGTGGAGTGTCACGTGATGCGTGTCCAATGAGTCTGACAACAGACCCTTATTTCAGAAAGTTCCTTCTAATTGTTTTGTAATCAACATTTTGAGCCAGAATCATGAAGCCTAATAATGCTGACACAAATGACAGTTTGCCAGTTTCATTACGATGTACAGTAACTTGTTCAGATGGACTGGAAGTCACTTGGTGGTCCGGGGTTTGGATTGCGGCTGGTGGAGCGTCTGTCCATCTTGTCAACTTGGAGAACAAAAACTTATTCTAACCGCTCCCCTTTTAAGTTTCTCTAAACATCTGTTGTCTAGAAATTAGTTTGCCAAATGATGTGACGTCAACCTTGCAATTTGGCATCAGTACGTTTTTTTTTTTGAAGGTGTATACTGTGAAGAATTTTGATGTAAAATTAAAACTAATAATTTGATACATTTGCTCAAATAAATGTGTTGAATATACTGAAATGTGGTTTGTTTACTCCCTGCAACATTTACTGCTTCTCTAAACTGTAGCCAAATCCTTCAACTATGTTAAATACAAGTAATTTGTTCTTCATTCAAATTTGTCACAACTGATATCATGGATTAGTCAATTGACAAAAAAAACTAGTCAACTGTTTTGATGGTCAGTTTTCCAACCAAAACGGCCAAACATTTGCTGGTTGGCTTTGTAACATCATTTTAAATGTGCTATCTTTTTAGGTTTTGGTCAGACATAAAAAGCAACTTCATAGTAATGTAGAACACGATGGGCATTTCATTCCATTTGTTTTTCATGGACTATTCAACAAAGTGCCTTTAGTAGTACTAGAAAAATGTACCAAGTGTTGAAAAACGGCACATCATCTACAGCAGGGGTGGCCAATTCCAGTCCTCGAGGGCCGCTGTCCTGCTTGTTTTCCAACTATCCCTGCCTGACCTGCTGCTGATTACCTGGCTCAGGTGTGTTCAGCCAATCAGAAGCTGGAAGATAC